TTTTGTCTTCTCCATTTTTCCTAAGCCCTTAACTTGTCCCGTGTCCTGGGTTGGTGGTAGCGGCGAAATTGAGAGAGAGGACTGGATCGACTAGTAAAATGGAAATTTATACCGGGATTCCTCTCTCGGAAACAAGAAGGTGTTTAGTATTCCGGGAGCGGGCAGCGAGGGATTTTGATCGTCTGCTTTCTCTCCATCAACTTAAAACCAAAACCACGACTCGGCCAGTGCCACTCCTGTCTCGCTCGCGGTTAAAATAATGCCAATGCTCCCCTCCAAAATAAGGAAGCTGTGTTACAAAAAAGACTGTGAAACGTGAACTAGCTAAATCAAAACCGCGGTGATGATCACGAGGAAGGACAAAATCTGTTTTTCTAAGGTGAGGTAAAAAAACTATAGTTACAGTTACACCTTAGTATGCATTCACCCCCCCCCCCTTCGAAAACCTTGACCGCCTCCTACAGCCAAGGGGGTGCGTTTTAAAGAAAAAAATAAAGAGACCGAAAAATCAATTACGGACCTAATCTAGTGCTATCCTAAGGGATTTTTCGATATGACCTCCCAGAAAAAAGTTTTGATGGTGGTGAATGGTTGCGTTTCGCAATTACAGTATGAAGGAGACTACCTACATAGCTGGGTATCTAAATTTATGAAAGATCGCCCCCACTTTACTATAAGGGGAAACAAGAATTGGGTCGATTGGTTGAGAAACCAGCGACTTTTCCCTATAACGAAGATTTCCGAGTGGTTGCTATATAGTAACTATATAGTTACACCCTCGCTATGGAGTAGTTTATAGTCTTAGCCCGTGCCCGGACTTATGGGACCGTCATGTCCGTCCGTGAACACGACAATTTTACGATATGCATATCGGACAAAGCTAGGAAACGTTCGATGGGGGGAAAAATCGGTCAAATGGTTGACCCGTAGGGGTCATCTAAGTTAGCGGGGTGCTATGCACCAGATTTCAAAATTATCATACAAAGCTGAAATTTGGTACACAGGTTGATAATGGTTTCTAATGAAATAATATGAAGTAAAATTGTAAAATTTTCATCTGGACGGACCATAGGGGATGACCCATACCGATTTTTGAAACTCATCCAATCGAGTTGTAATTTGGTACAGCGTTTTCTAGTCGCACCTAATGGAAGAATATGAACTGAAATTTGGAAACTTTTTATGTGGAGGGACCCTTTGAAGTCACCCATACCTTTTAGAAATTGTCACAAATGGTTTTCTAAGTCGAAGAGCAAATTTGAGTCGGTTAGGCATATCGGAACCGATACCTATCAACTGGCACTTTTAAAAAATCGGTTACGATATGCGTAAGACTAACAGTGTAAATGTTTCGTTGCAAATAGCGTGTAATAATGGTTATGTTCTATATTTGCTTTTAAAATTCAAACCTAAAAAATAATTAAATAAAATATAGCTTGAAAAAGTAAAAAGTTCTAAGGTGAGGAAGTGCTATTAAAAGTATTAAACAAGCTCCCTCCGCCACCCAGATGATTTTACTTCGCCTGGGCTGTCTATCGCATGCAAAATATCGACAATAATGTTTCGGCGTCACGTAAGAAAATAAGAATTAGAATTAATTTCTTGATCCAAAGTTAACTTTTGAATTGGTTAATATCCAGATCAACATTGCTGGGTGGTAAGGGTATCATTATTATTATTAGCAATTATGATAATTTGGTGCTAATTATTATGAACCATATTACATATGGTTCATTCGTCCCTAAATATTTATTAATTATTTGTATAACTAGCTCGACATCGTGCTCGTTGTACTGATAAACCGATATTTTAAACTATATTATAAACTATATTTAAATTATATTTTAAACTATATTATATTAAACGATATTATATACTATACAATGCAAGACCACCATTGTTTTTAGATTTGTTAGGTGACTCTATGAGCGACTTTTTTATGACCTGCATATTTTTATTTACAACCGATATTTTGCATGCGATAGACAGCCCAGGCGAAGTAAAATTATCTGGGTGGCGGAGGGAGCTTGTTTAATACTTTTAATAGCACTTCCTCACCTTAGAACTTTTTACTTTTTCAAGCTATATTTTATTTTGGGGGGGGAAAACAGTCTGTCTAAATTTTACCAGATGACATGTTATTATTTACACATCCATAAAATAAAGTGGGGGAAAGGCACGCTAAATAATCCGGGGTTTCGGGTGGAAGGAACCACTTGCAAGAAATCATGGAATACCAGATCGCTCATATATGGCAAGAAATAACCGTAAGCCCCGTCGCTATACTGCATACGGTGCGTGACCAGATGGCGCCTATTTTTTGCATTTTCATGCAGTTTCTTGCACCTCGCATTTCTAGGTTCTAGGTCCAAGAAATGTGCTTAGCAAACCCGTAAGAAACGAAACACTGGCGGGAGGAAAATACAAAGGAGAGTGGGAAAATTTGTGGGAAAATTTATGCACATTAGTAACCTTTTATTTATCTTGATAATTAAAATTATGTTCCGAAAATTTTTCAAAAAACCTGTAATGGCGTCCAGGATCTTTGATGGGATTAATTTTTGTGGAATTCGCAGCCGTTAGTAAACAAAAAATTTGCAATGGTGAGAATAATTGATATGCAATTATAATTCAGGGGGGGTCAAAATTGATTACAGTTTTATGCACAATTTTTTGAAGTAGAACGACGGAGAATCTGAAAACTTGTGTTGTAATTCAAAATTTTTCACAAAACTTGTGCTGGCGTCCAAGTTCGGTGATGGAGTTATTTTTATTAAAAATTCCCAACAAAAATTAATGGTTCCAATTTTTTTAACGAAAACGGTGAGAATAACTGGGCCATTTATTTACTACGTTAATTCGGGACTGGGAAAATTTTTACGAATTTTGGGAATTCCCCACCGCATTATTTACAGTGTAGTCAAATTGTGGAGGTGCAAAGGACTCTGTTTTACACCGGCACGTGGCTAATGTAAATTGTTCTCTGGTAAAAAAAAGTCATTTCGAGGCAGAAATTATTTTCTGAATGGCTCAATTTTGTCATAATTTTAAAAAATGGGCAGTTTTCTGCTATCTCTCTCTCGGGCTAGTTATTTCCATCCCAGTTTCTCTCTCGGTGGGTCGAGGAGATAGGAACGTGCGTGCATGTAACAAATGGTGGAGGACGATCCGATCCAATCGAATCATCACGACCACACCACCACGATTGTGAGTGTCACTGACAATGACAATCACGGCCACGACGACGGCGATGATGATGATGATGATGATGATGAGGGGAGGCGGAGAGTTGGGAAATGTCGCGTTTTTTTCTCCACCACTTTCTCCATGCACGTTGTGATGCATTTCTGGAAATCGCGGACAAGCCTTCAATATGTGTTATCACTTTGGAGGAAAAAATTTATCAGAAAAATAGAATTATTTCAGAAATTAAATTAGCTCTGTCCGTTCAATAGTTATTGAAATATGCAGTATTTCGTTTCTTGTGGGTTTACTTTCCTACATTTTGTTGTTGCACTGCAAAGCGAGAAGTGGAAGGTGCAAGAAATATGAATTTTGAACCAAAATAAATTCCACTGCCGAACTTGGGCGCCGTTAAAAGTTATTTTGATAAATTTTGAAGAACGATGTAACTTTGTCAGATGCTTGAGATTTTGCGTAATAATTCAAAACGATCTCCAAAACAAACTGAATTTCGAATTACAATTTCATTTCCAATTTAAAATATTTACTGGCAACGAGTTGCTGTGAATTTTCGATAAAAATCAATTCCATCAGTTTTGTGTAAGATTTTTTTTAGATGGTTTACAAAAATTTGACCACCAATAACTTTTAAACGAGCAGAGCTACCGAGTTCATTTTAGTTTTAAAATAATCCCAATTTTTGAATTGATTTTTTCTCAAAAAAATCTCGACGGTCATATTTTGCAAAATGATATGGCATGTTAAAAGATTGTCCAACAAAGCGTGTCACTGTGCAGGGTGGAGAAAGCAGGACTAAATTACTGGTTGCGAGATTTCGTCATTGTGTGAAGATCATTAACACGTTTTTCTCTGATTTTTTTCTGCTTTTTCTTTCTTCGTCTCGGCACGTCCATCACGACGGAATCTGCTCCCTCCGTGATAACTTTTCTCTTGTTAATATTCCATTTTTTATGAGGAGAAAGTTAGAGAGAGACAGAGAGGAATTTTTTCGGTCGAAATGCCAGATTTGTTCCACTTTTTGAGACGGAAATGTTGTGGGGTGAATGTGTTTGTGGGTAATAAAAGAGCATAGTTGGCTGCTCGTGGTGGTCGTGGCGTGGTTATTATTATGCTAAAGAGACGCGATGAATGACACGACGTGAACCGTAAGGAGGACGACGAGATAAGCTCGCCTTCAAAAGAAGCAGGCCCCGCAGAAGAAGAGGGGCATCCAAAACCGGATTTTTCCATTTTTCCCCATTCATTTGCACGTGTCAGATCGTTTTTGTAAGACCGATCATGTGTTTTCAATTTTGTATAAACCGATTTTATCACTCGAAAACCGTTTTTTTTAAATTTTTTTAAATTGCAAATTGTTTCAGAGCAAGTGGGATTTACCATTTATTGTTTTTCAAAGTTAATTTTCCTGATTTTTTTGTCAAATTAATACAAGTTTTCTTGCATTGTAAATTTTACCTGATTGGATTTGCAAGTTTTTAAAACTCCATGTAAAAGGGGCTTTAAGATTATTTGACAAAATCGGAAAAATCGAGCACCGATTCTGTATGCTTCAATCGGGATAACCTTCAATGATAACCCGTCCACCGCGAAAATGTCCCCACTGTACACGTTGTGCCGTGTGTGACTCTGCAAGTTATGAATTTGTAAGATGCTGCTGTTTGGAAAATGATGGCACGATAATAATAATAACGACGCAACTTTCACCCCGACCACATTTGAATAGTACATTTTTGCCTGTGAATTTTGCCAATTTTTTCCCCAATAAATTCTGATGTTCTTTCTTTCTTTCTTTGCAGGACGCCTACTTGAACCCGTCGTCCTCCGTGTTGCGCCTGACGCGGGCGGGTGACATCGTTCGTGGCCCCCTGCCCAATGAGCCGTCTGACCTCTGGACCGTTTTCTACCCCAACCACACCACGTACGAGGCCGTCTCCATGGCCACGCCGTTTCAAGAAGGGGGCGAAGCGGAGCTCCACGCCCCCCCGGGAACGGTCAACATTCCCCTCGTCACGGTAGTCCAGGTGGGTGAAAGATAAGTGCATGCATATTCGTCGACTTGATTTGTTAACTCGATGACTCATCGTCAAAATCAGAACATTTTTAATCATTTCTCGGCTCTGGGAATTTATGCTAAAATTTAGACGACCAACTTATAGAGCTAGTCGTAATTTTTTAAAGATACACTCCAAATTTTTACGGTTTTTGATGGAGGAGGTTTTAAATTCCTAGAGCAGCGAAATGTGCTGATTTTGATAATGAGTCATCAAGTCCTACGTTAATCTTTGGTGGCGAGTGGATAAGCAAAAGCAAATACGGACGCCGCACTACTACGATTTAATATTTTCATTTTAACGTAATTTTGAAAAAAAGTGTGCAAAATGAGCCGCAAAAAGGAAAATTTGTAGTCGTTGTGGTGGTAGCAGGGGTACAGTGTGTACTGGCTTATCCACTCGGTTATCACGGTAGGCTCAGGTCGACGCGTAGGGGGAATGGGAAAGGAAATGAAGATCCCTCTGGTCACGGTGGGAATAAATCCTGGCTTAATTTGAGACAATGTGCATATGTGGCAGGCGAGACGATTAGGATTGACGTGAAAGTAAACTGGACTCGAGTACAAAAAATTCGAGTTGGCTTTGGTCTGATTTAATGGGCGTCTGATCTATTTATTGCGATGGGAGGAATTTTGGAAGGAGGATAGCACAGTGTTCGCCCTAAAAAATAACCTGCTGGAAATTATTCCTAGTTTTTTGCAGGAACAATTTCTTGCAGTCGTGCAAGAAATGTAAAATGGTTCAAAACGAGTAAAAGTTTACGCTAAAATTTTTGCGAAGAATCAAAGCTAAATATTTGATAGAAAATGTGAAACTTTTTGAAATTTTAGCAATTCCAAAGAGCTATGTTATGATATTAGGACCAAGTTTTGAGGAATTTTACCCGTTTTTTAAACAATTTTAACCGATTTTACGAACACTTTCTTAATTTTCAAAATATCTAAATATCATAAATCTTGATTTTTGAATAGAAATTACAAAATTTGCATTTTTGCTATCTATTTGCGGGGGCGAAGAGAACGACAGCAAAATTGGTGTAAAAATCTGGCATTGCAAGCCTCGCTTGCTCTCCTTCCTTGCGGAGAAAGTCTCCCGTTTTTCTTCTCCTGTGTAAATAAATCTAAAAGAAGACGGACCGCTCGCTTTTACTTGTTCAATTTCAATCAGAAATAAATCTTGAGAGAGAATCGAATCTTTTCTCGTCTCAAATTGTGACATTAACTTTATTTTTTGGTTTATTTACTCTTTTTATCTACAGGACAAAGGTGAAGCGGACGGGATTCGTCGGGTAATTTTCGGTGCTGGGTTGAAATTCTGGTTGCATCGGCTCCTCCTTCTGGACGCGATATCTTACTCGAGGTATACAAAATTTCTATAATTTTTAAAATATATTTTTTGATATGCTAAATATTTAATGTAATTTTTTGTAGCCGCGGGCGGTTGAGCGTCTCCCTCAAGAGATATATTCTAATTGATATCGACGACATTTTCGTGGGCGAGAGGGGCACCCGCTTGAAGAAGAGTGATGTCGAGGTGGGTTCAAAAAAATGCAGGTTTCCGGGAGTGCGGTTTTGCACAAATGCACTGGAAATTCCCCCCAAATCGTGGATGGAAAAATTGGGAAGATATTTTTTAGAGGAAACTCGGTAGAAATAAAATTTGGAGGACCTGTTTTTATGAAAAGAAAAACAGGAACAAAAATTCCATTTGCAAGAACTAAAACAGAAATCGCGCTCCCATACCGATTTTTCTATTGTATGGAAAATTTTAAATTTTTTTTCATGAATTTCTAGGCGATCCTGACGGCTCAGGAGGGGCTGAGGAGACTCGTGCCTGGTTTCAAGTTTAATTTGGGCTTTTCCGCAAAGTATTTTCATTTCGGGGATGACGAAGAGAACGCTGGCGACGATCTGATTCTAGGTAATGGGAAATATTGACTATTTTCATAATAATATAATTATGCATTCACCTATGTCTACACACATCTATCATCTCGTCCGTAACGATTTATTACTGCGAATCGTCGAAGAAATTCAATTTTGCTGGCCACATAAATAAATTCGAGTTTTGTAGTCGTTACATTTTTTGGAGGTAACAATTTCAATGCCGTGTTACTATTTGCACGTGTATGAAATAAAGGTACTCTAGATAATTTGGAAACCATAAGAAAACATACTAATTTTTCCCAAAATGTTTATAAAAATCTTTTTATAAAACATATAATGTCGTCAAAGTTCGTCCATCGGTTTTATGTATTGTCCTGAATAATTACTGATTTTGTTAGCGAATTGAATTTGGGGTACGATTACGGTAATAAATCGTTACGGTGGATCCGGTAACAATTTTCGCTGATCAATTTTTATTCCTCTTTGCAGAGAATAGCGACAAGTTTATGTGGTTTGGCCATATGTGGAATCACATCCAGCCTCACTTGTACTCCAATCTGACCCAACTTATGCTGGACATGATGAAAAATAAGGATTTCGCAAAAGTATGAATTATATTTTTTTGTATCCTGTTCTTTTGTGACGGTGCATTAATGTTTTTTTTATTTGTTCAGGAGCACGGAATCCCGACGGATTTTGGGTACTCGGTGTCACCGCATCATTCTGGCGTGTATCCCGTCCACGACCTCCTCTTCGACGCGTGGAAGAAAGTTTGGAACGTGAAAGTGACGAGCACGGAGGAATACCCGCACCTCCGCCCGGCCAGATTGAGGAGGGGCTTTATCCACAGGGGCATCATGGTGGGTGGTACTCCGGATAAGTTACTTATCTAATCCATCAATTGCCTTGTGACGAGTGAATAAGCGAGGTCGGAGTGTGTACCGGCTCCAGGATTAAATATTTTCGTTTACGTATCTTATTTCGACGTATGAGTTGCATACAATTTCGTGTAATCTGAAATCTAATTGATTTGGAGATTTTCTTTTCGTGAAGGAAATTCTTGTAGTTTTTCAAAATTTTCAAAATTCGTCTTTCTTATAATAAAATTCCCATCTCATTTTCAAGTTCCGGTCGATTTTCAAAAAATTTTGCGTAATTTGTGCCTCGAAAGACAATGCGAAAATGAAAATATGTATTAAATCGTAATGGTGGTAGTCACTCCATACTCGCTTATCTACTCGTTAACATGAGCATGGTGGATTGGATTAAATTGGATAAGTCAACTTTATCCGAACCTAGTTCTTAATGCAGATGGGATGTGAAATGACTTTTACTTATTCAGTCACGTTACGACTTTTCTACGTGAACCCGGAAGTTTCAAAGTTCCAAGTTCCAATTTCCAGTCTGTCCATACATAAATTCAGACCAGAAGCCACAAACTACGTAACAGTAATCGACGTACGTTTGTTTCTTTGTTTTCCCGGAAAGAAAAGTGTTTTCCTCGAAATCTCATGTAAAATGGATGACGAGGATAAAAGTCCAGTCCAGTCCACGATCACCACCACCACCGCAAAAAGTCCTACTGACCTATTAACAATTTCCTCTTGTTTTTCTTTCTGGCAAAAAAATGGCAAGTTGTGCTGTACACAAATTGATTGAGCAACTCCTCCGTCTGACCAGCAAGGAAGAGAAAGAAAAGTCAAGAATTAGAGATGCGAAAAGGTGATTCGTGTTACAAACTGGGAAAGAATTGGCTCGTGGTGGTGGGTGGTCTGCAGTGACTGCGGAAGCGGGGGGACAGTGTCCCCACAGGTATTCGATGTCCCCATGTTATATAAACCCATCCCTCCCCTATCCTACAATGCTAATGTCCCCACACCTTCCGCGGCCACTGGTGGTCTGGTCTGGTTTGGACGACTGGATTATATAAATGTGTACGAGAGAGGAGAGAAAGTCGTTTGAAGATGCAGGACCAGACTTGAATTTAGAATTTTTCTTTTCTTGTTTTCTCCCAATTGGAATTCACTCCTGGATTGGATTGGATCGCGTGGAGAGGCTAGTTTTCCAGGCTGCTTGAAACAGGAAAAAGTTGGCTTTGTCTGGATGTGGACGAGAATTAGCTGATCTCGATACGAGCGGAATTATGCGATTTTTTAGAGGAAAACTCGACTTGGGGGGGGTCCAATTCAATCGAGATTATGTGACGAGATATCAAGATATGTGATAAGATGAGTGAAAGTGATAAGGCAGGGTCAGGTCAAGGTTGAGACAAAGAGAGATCAATATTTTTAATAATATTAGAGTCATTGCTCAATAGTTTATGGTGTCACGCGATTTTTGTAATGAAATAGAAGAAGTAAATTATGGCTGGTCCGATTAAGTAGAGATGATAATCTGATTTGATAAGAGGTCAAGTCGGGTCAGAGTTGGTGTTGATTAGAGGTCAAGATGTCGTTATCAAGTAATTAATAATTTATACTGTCACGTGGGGTTATAGACACATGATTTTTTTAGTGAGAGAAAGTAGGGAAATTCGAGTTGGACAATGTCCAATTCATGTAATGATGCGATATAACATGTGATGCGAGAAGAGGTCACGGTTGGCGAGACGAGGTCAATATTGTTGTTTCTGGTGAATAATTAATTAATTGTGTCACGTGTCCGCAGGTTCTTCCACGCCAAACGTGTGGCCTTTTTACTCACACGATATTTATCGACCGCTATCCTGGAGGACAGTCCAAGTTGGATGAGAGCATCTGGGGAGGCGAATTGTTCCAGAGCGTCGTCTATAATTCGGTACTAAATATTTCTGAAAAAGATTACAAGGGTGGGAAAATACTGCGTCAAAATATGGAGGGTATTTTGAGCAACGTTATTTTGAGCAACGTCCAAGGGAGTGGATATCCGGGATTATTACGGCTACACAAAAATTTACATGGAGGATACAACAGTCATATGAAAACACGGTTTTTGTCAAGAACTTCACCTTTGTCGGAGTCCAAATACTATTTTTTAAATCGTGAAATTAAAGTATTTTACCTTGGTAAAAGGTAATATAAGACTCAATGGCTTCATACTCATCGCCAAAATCATGCAGAATTTTAAAATAAATTCCCAGAGCCGAGAAGTGATTAAAAATGGGCTGATTTTGACGACGAGTTATTGAGTCCTACGTTAATTCTACACAAAACATGTATTTTCATATGACTGTCGTATTTACCATGTAAATTCTCGCTTTATAGCTATTGTAATAACCCCGGAAATCCACGCCTCAAAATACCAATTTTGCCAACCCTTAAAGTAGACAAATGTTGTTCAACAATTTTGTTCGTATTTTTTTAGATCAACGTGTTCATGACGCACATGTCCAACTATGGGAACGACCGGCTCGGCCTTTACACGTTTGAATCGGTGATAAAGTATGTCCAGTGTTGGACGAATTTGCAAATGGTCACCCTTCCACCGGTCCTTTTGGCGGAAAAGTATTTTAAAATGCATCCCGACGAGGGGGATCCGATTTGGGGGAATCCATGTGACGATCCGCGTCACAGGAAGATTTGGTCGTCCAACAAGACGTGTGATAGTCTTCCGCAGTTTTTAGTGATTGGACCACAGAAAACGGGAACGACGGCGTTGTACACCTTTCTGACGATGCATCCCGCAATTTCGAGTAACAAACCGAGTCCGGAGACCTTCGAGGAAGTTCAGTTCTTCAACGGGAAGAATTACTTGAGAGGGTTGGATTGGTAAGGGGACAATTTAAGGAATAATATTGGGGCAAATTTTTGGCTTGATTTCTTTATAAGTTGATGATTTAATTTTAATTTAATTTAATTTAATTTAATTTAATGAGCTTCCGAACATGCAAAGAAATGGGAATTTTAATAGAAAAAGTATTTTTTAGTAGGGAATCTGATTTTGTGGGGAGTTTTTCAGAGCTCATGAACAAATTTTGTGTAAAACGTAAAGATTTTGATTTAAAAACTTGGATTTAAAAAACGAGTTGTGTCTTTGTTCATGAGAAATTTTAGAGTAAAAAACTTTTTTTTATACTTTTTTTAACAAAAAAAAAATTTAAAGATTTTAATTTTATAATAATCTATTGTTTTAGAAAAATCTGAATCCGTTTTGGGAATAAATTTACGGAAAAATTAGTGTCTTGTTCAAAAAAGGATAGTAAAGCCAGGAGTTTCTTACAAAAACCTTTTTGAAAATCCTACAAGACTTTTATTGTAAAAAGCCATAATTTTGGAAATCCTGCCAGTAAACGAAATATACTTCACCTTCTGAACAATTCTCTAATTAAAAATTCCACTTTTCTTCCAGGTACCTAAAATTTTTCGCGTCTGAAGAAGTCCTCCCCACCACGAATGTTACGACCTCCTTCGCACACGCCTCTTCCTCCTTCGCATCAGACGACGACGCCAACGCGCACCACAACGCGGTGCCCACTCTGCCCCCATTTCACGAAGAGCCTCCGCCTCACACGAAGAGAATCCTTTTTGAAAAAAGTGCAACTTATTTTGATAACGAGCTCGTCCCCAAACGTGCCCACGCTTTGTTACCGAGAGCAAAATTAGTCACGATATTAATCTCACCGGCGAAACGGGCGCATTCTTGGTATGGTTATGAAATAATAGCAACACATGAAGGTTCTTAAAGACTATTAGTTGTATGATAATATATGTAACTAATTTGTATGTTGTAGGTATCAACACATGCGCGCGCATAATGACTCGGTCGCGCTAAATTATACATTTTACGAAGTTCTCACCGCGTCCGTTGGATCACCAAAGGTTTTGAGAGATTTAAGAAATAGGTGAGTTTTAGGGTTGAGACGAATTTCATACAAGCTCTTTAACATATGGAAATATGTGTGTCGAGATTTTTTGCGAAAAACTCAACCAAAAAATTTAGATTCTTTCAAAAATAAAATGAACTCGGTAGATCTGCTAGTTCAAGAGTTATTGAAGGCCAAAAGTTTCCCAAATCTTGATTTTTATACCATCTCAATTAAACTTTGACTTTCAGTAACTTTTGAGCCAGCAGAGCTACCGAGCTCTTTTATTTTTTAAATAACTTTAATTTTTGGGTTGATGTTTAAACAAGTCTCGACGAACATATTTCGCAAAGTGATGACACGTGTTAAAGGTTTGTATAACAATCCAACGTAATGGTGACCTCATGTGCTTTCTTTCTCTCCACAGATGTCTAAATCCGGGTAGATATGCGCAAAATTTGGAGCGTTGGTTGAGCTATTTCCCACCCCAACAGTTGTTAATACTTGACGGGGAAGAGTTGCGGGATGACCCCGTCGCTGTGATGTATCGCTTGCAACGCTTTCTCCAAATTCAACCCCTTTTCGATTATTCCACAAAATTAAGGTAATCAGAAATCAAAATTGTGCATTTTGTATACAAGGTACATTACATTTTACATTTTAATCCGAAAACAGCCCAGGAATTTCATTTGTTTCTACAAATTGTTCTTAAAACTTGAACATTTTAATCCAAACGTAGTCCAGAAATACAAAAATTTCATTTTTGATTACAAATGTTCATAAAAATTTAACATTTTAATTCGAAATTAGTCAAGAAATACAAAAATTTGACATTTTTTATGCAGAATTTATAACATTTTAATCCGGAATCAGTGTCCAGTGTTTAAAAAAAATTACACAAATCTTACTAAAACTTGCATATTTTTTCCAGGTACGACCGAAGTAAAGGTTTCTACTGCCAAGTAATTAGCCAAAATAGGAACAAATGCCTCGGTCGGAGTAAAGGCAGGCATTACCCACCAATGGATGACCGGTCCGAGAAATATCTTCAGGTTCAAATCTCAAACAAAATTTCCTACACATTTCCCAGAAATGTAAATATTTATATTCTTCAGAAATTTATACATAAATATTTTTGTCCACAGAGCTACTACAAGTCTCATAACAGTGCATTGGAAAAGCTTCTACGCCGACTGGACCACTCCATCCCGCCCTGGTTGAGGGAAGATCTGATCGAATAAAGAAAACCTCGTGATTATTAGGATTAAGGAAATTTTACAAAATTAGGAAATTTACCAGACTCACTGCAATATTTAAAAAAAAGAAGAAAAACAAGACAACCGCATTTAGTAACTAATTTACGAAAGAAATTGTGATGCTTTAGAAAATATCACTCCAATCAAAAAGTCACTTACTCACTCACCGCTAAGAAGAAAATGATATCATGCATAATCAAAAACTTGTCTAGAAATTAGGTGTCCAGTTGTGCAATTCTTTTCTAGTTTGATATTTAAATAAGTAATTAATCGTTACATGAGAGAGATCTGATTAGTTGATTAGTTAATTAATTATGCCTTGAGACACTCATGTATATAATAATATTTCAGTTGGTGTGGCGTATGAAAATTTGAGGTGGCGAAAATTGGCCCATTTTAGTAGAAAATTTTGTACAGAAAAATATGTACGATTTAGTCTGAAGAATTTCGTATATTTTAGCAAAAAGAAATTTTACACTAAAATTTCTACACATTTTACTCTACATGCAGAGAAATTTTGTACATAATTGGCCCATTTCTCGGCAGAAGAAAAGTGCAAAATTCTGCAGAATTATGAACATTTTTTTTTGCAGAAAATTTTGTTTAGGTAGAGTAAAATGTGTATATTTTTTTCTGTATAAAATTTTCTGTCAAAATATGCTGGATTTTTCAGAATAATTGTGCACTAGGATGTTTTTCTGAGTAAAAGTTTCTGCCAGAGTGAAATATGTATTTAGCATTTGTTGCAAAACAATTCGTAATTCTGCAGTAAAATTTGGAGATTTTTTTCTGTAGAAAGTTTCCTGCTGCCAAAATATGCATGAAGAACAACAGAGAAATTTTCGCACTTGGATTTCCATACGAGCTGCGTATACATATGTACCACGAGCTGCTTTATATCCAATGATCTTACTCTATTTTATAAAAACTAGATGGACTTTAGTACTGAACAGTTTTTTGTACGTTATTTGTAAAACAGGAGAAAACGACAACAAAACGATTTTTGTAATTGTATGTACACATTCTTTTACAATTTCAAAGTTTGATTTTGTTAAATATTTAAAAGCCTAAACCGCAATTAATTATTATGTAATTAGTCAGCGGTTTATTATTATTGTGTTGTGATTTTGTACTGAGAGAACAAAGATACCCAACCCAGGAATTGTTTGCCATATAAAATAATAGTCATTAATTTAACGAAGCGTTAAACAATTAAGTTTCTGATTAATTAAGTTTGTTTGTATTCTGTTTACAACAGCAAAACAAGGGTTATATATTTTTATAAATTTAGGGAGAGACATAAAATACAAATTATAATCTGTCGTCGATTTTGATTTATTTAAATACATATGAAAATCGGAGTGGAGAAAATTGGCGAACGTTTCTGCAGAATTTGACACATTTTGCTCTGTAGAAATTTTTTGAAGATTTCGAATCTGCGAATGTGCAAAATTCTAGACAAAACTTCTCCAATTTTCGATACATCGATTTTTCATGTACGATAATTAAAACGTTTTTCTTTGTTCAAATGTTTTGTAAATTAAAGTTCCACCAAAAAAATAGTATTTATGAAAGGAAGAAATGTATTTTTGTTTTAACAGTTTATCGTGAAAATTAAAATTTTAAAAATATTATGAAGCACGATCCACGCACAAGTGTACACGCAAGAATTTTAAGAGAGTAAATCCCAAACAATCCACCAAAGGAATCCTTGGTGATTAAATTTAAAGTTCAATATGATTTAAAGTAATTTTATGACGTGGCTGACACTAAGTTGAGAAGAAAAAGCTGCTGCTACCAGCACTAAATACACAATTAAATTAGGACTAATCGCAGTAATTAAAACGTTAATTGTTGAGTTTGAGGTGGTCAAGATACACATAAAATAGAGCTGGAACTGATTGATAATCTGACAATAAAGGAATATACCCATATTTATAAGAGAGCGATGATTAGTGAGTGCATAAAATTATTTGCATATGACAAATGAATTTTTGCATAAATACATATCATGGAAATGATAGGAATTTTAACACCATGCCGGATTTCATGTTTTAAAGCAGTTTCTGAAAATTTCGGTAGGGATCACTAACACCATGGGGTCACTCCAGATAAAAATTTTATCAATTTCATTTCGTATTCTTCCATTAAGACCCACAAGCAACCTCTTTACCAAATTTCAGATCGATTTCGATGTGAAGATTTAAAAACGAAGATTTTTGGCATTTTACATTACACATTTTACAATACACATTTGCTGCTCAATGTGTGAGTAGAATCACTGAATCCAAAAAACACGTCACAAATGGGTATATCTTATGGCCGGGGTGCGATAAGCCTTTGTCGTCGAGTTCCCAGTTATTCGCAAGGTCATAATCTCACAATTTTTCGTTCAATTTGTATGCAAACACGGTCGTGCCGATAAGCGCAATGTACGCACATGTCAACAACTCTAAGGAGGAGATTGTGTCCAAAAATGGTGCAAATCGGATGAGAAATGGATAAGTTATGGCGAAAAGAGATTTTAGATTTGTTGAGAGTGTTGCGGTGCAGCAGTGAAATTTGGCTGAAAATGTGGCTGAAAATGTGGCTGAAAAGTGAGAATCTGCAAGGCCATTGACCTCGTCAAATCGCTTCCATCTCAAAATTCTGAGACGAAAATTTTGAGATGGAAGCGATTTGACGAGTTCGATTGCCTTGCAGATTCTCACTTCTCGGGCAAAATTTCAGCTCAATCCACGGTCAGCTCTCAGTCCACTGCAACCTGTCTCAAATCGTTTTTTCGCCATAAGTTTTCCATTTCTTATCCGATTTGCACCATTTTTGGACACAATCTCTTCCTTATCCTAAGGGGTGACCCATACCAATTTCTAAGAGTTTATGTATTCAGCTGAAATACCCCACCCACTCCGATGATCATTTTCGAACTCGAGTCTTAACTTTGTCTCTGAAAATTGAAAAATAGATTGTTTTTATGGAGCGGATGGAGTAATTGTGGAGAAAATATATTTATAAGAACGCAAGGATTAATGAGGAGTGCGGAGAACTATTTGCATACCATGCATGTATTTTCGCAAAAATCCCCATGTGAATTTTTGAGCATAAACAGCGAAACAACTTAGTTACTCCCAAACATCCTAAAAAAAGCACACCCTACCAAAAAAAAGCAGAATGGAAGGCAAGTTTGAGATAAGGTGAGGATGAGGAGAACAAATTGCATGTTTTGCATACCTGAACCGAATTACATAGGATCTGAGATAAGATTCTTAAGAAGTTTGATAAAGAAAGATAAAGCGAAGAATGAGCTCTAGACAGCAGAGCAGTAGCAGAAATAGTAATCATGAAGCGAAATACATATGACCTAGCCCCCTGACCTTTTGACCACAATAAGGTCGGGTAAACAGAATTTAAAAAAGTTGACGCAGTCGAGAGTTATCGTGCTGACAGATAAATCGATAAGCACATTTCATTCAAATTCTCAAATTCCTTCATTATCCAAGGGTTACCAAAAACAATGGCTGGGTTGCATTTCAACCAAAAATGTATCACAATTCAAAAACTTGTACATGAATAATTATTGTAGACTATTTTTTTCCGTAAATATTTTGTCCAGGGCGAAATGAGTCCCATTGACTACGACGACCCTAGACGTCCTGCCGTTGAGGGTGGTGGTGGAGGAGGTGGAGGGGACGGGGATAATCCCCCCAACTTCTGGGCCTTCTTCAGGACCTTCGTCAGCGTGGGGATGATCGCGGTGGCGTATTACATCCTCGCCCAAATCATCGAGAGCATCTTCCGCGTACCCCAAAGGCTCCGGGTGGGCAAAAAACCACATAAATCTATCATTTGGTAATGCAGAAAATTATTTTGCGAACAAATAAGTTCGAAATTCTGAAGTTTTCCAATATTTCATTCAGGAAACGCTGACCTTAATTAATTCATACGTACGTCGAAAGTTGTGGGTTGGAAAGCTGCAGCTGCATTTTTTAAAAAAGATGCCCACATTTTCATACGGGTCAGATCTTCCACTACAAATACATGCATGCACTATCATCGTCAAACAGGTGTGCAATTCAAGGAATAATGGGTTCCGTCAGAAATATGCACAAATCAAAATTCTATCTAAACAACGCAAAACTTTTTTAAAATCCTGAAGTTACAAATATTTAAAAATTATTAATCTGAATCCGATTCAAATAAATGTATAAAGGTGTAAAACAATCTTTGCATTACATTTGAAGCATTATAAACCGTATCCTAATTTTATCTAAATTTTATTTACCTCAATCCGAATTTTACAAAAATGCGTAACTGGCGTCACACACATCCAAAAAAAAATCCAACTTTCACCTCCACTTTCTTCCCATATTAAAAAAACATGCCCAAATTTTCATACGGGTCGTATATATCCTCCTCTAATACGCACACACCATCACCGTATCGTACCTGGCACATCAAAGGAATATTGTACGTAGATGGAACAGCAAAAAACAAAATGGACCATTTTCCCGTCTTCTTCCCGTACTCAGAGAACAGCTCATACCGAAAACCCAACCATACCTACATCCATACGCAACTACATGCATCCGACCGACCGACTGTTCTGTTCTCTTATTAGTCAGCTACGCCAAGCAAGTTTCTTTGGGAAAGGCAAAGGCTGTCATGATGCATGGAGCCCTTTACACAGTCACATTATGTACATTTACTACGAAATGTTACGCTTTCCTGCCTGCCCGGTCTCTAACTTGCACTTCTCTCATTTCCATCCAGTCTCCATTTGGCCCTCCTTCCCGTCAAGTTCCTTTCATGAGGCTTCTCTTCTCATGAAATCCGTCTCCCGATCTTCGTCACGTTTGCATGCAACCGAATTACTTATTTTTACATAGATATTTTTACAACTGCTCAAAACAATTTTGGGGAGTTTCGAACTTTGCAAATATTACTTACAAAACTTGCTCAGGAAGAAGTAGAAGAAGAAGGAGACTTGTTAATTTTGCGATAGAACGATTTGTGCCTCAAGAAGTAATTTTTACACAAGAATTCGAATATTTATGGGTGAAAGTATATAAATATTTATGTAAAGTGGAGAATAAAAAGACTGATTAATTAAGGAACTAATTTCTTTTTGATTGGAGAAGACAAAGTAATTATTGTGAAATACTTTTCAAGTTTTTTTGAAAAATTTTGAGTCCAGGATTTTTTAAGGTGTGATAAAATAATCTGGAAGAAGAAGAGAACAATTAAGTAGAAGACACGTTTTATTTTCAAGGATCGTCACGGTAAGTGAGCGGTGAAATTTTGCCTATTTTTGGCCACGTTAGGAAAATTTGAGGTGTTTTGAGCTGGTAAAAATAAGTAGATTTTAATTCACGAGGTTTTTGAGTGCTTTGTACACATGAAATTTCTCTCGGGAAACTTTACTTTTTCCAAATGGTAACAAAATCTTGTGAGATTACCAACTCTCAAGATTCATTTGTAACCGAATTGATTATGCAGTCCCACGAACGCTGGGACTTGAGAGAAAATAATAATGTGTCCGATTTCATAAGTAAGAAAGTAGATTGGTTGGTTGGTCAACAAAGGAAATTTATCTGGGAAGAGTGGAAAATTAATACGTGTGTGCATTTAGTCCAGTTTAAAAAAAAATTGAATTATGATCCAGCACAAATCCTTCGTGGGCTAAGGACAATTAGACCAAAACTCTTAAACAGAACACACGGGTCTAATTGCTGTAACTGAGTTTGGAGAATTGAACAAATATTTAATTTGTGTCTGAATCAGTGTATTATTTCTTTGCGGGTTTGCCACATTTCTTCCACTGCAAAATAAGAAATGCAAAAAATGGGAGGTGCAAGAAACTGGGAGAAAGTGCAAGAAATATGCGTCGTCCAGCCACGCGCCTTATGAAATATAGCGGTGGGGCGTAGTTTCTTGCGCCTTTAATTTTTTGCAGGTCAAAATCCCTGCAAAAACCCACTTTCTTACCGTTATTTCTTGCAAATATGGTTACTTGCATCCGAAACACTGATCTCAACTTCTAAAAAATTAAAAATGGTTGATCGTATTTATACTCAATGGATACACTCGAGCAGAAAATGTATCACAACTTGAACTACTTCCCAAATCTAAGGATTTATATTTCTGAAAACAAATTGGACTAGAAAAAAAAAATTTCAAAATTCTTATAACATTTAAACTATTTTTACAAAAATGTAAAATGTACAAAATTATTACTTATATTTATTAATTATTAATTAATATTTCAAAATATTTCGTAACGACGTCAAATCGTGACAATTTTCTGACAAGTTATGTATGAAACTCTAAATTAACGTAAATTTCATTCTAGAGTATGAAAAATTAGTGCATTTGTCTCCAAACTGGATCGACTGTTGTCTAAAGATTGCATTGTGCCGTGCGGAATTAGGGATGCAGGAGGCGTATTGTCTCATTTTTTGTCGCCTTTCTCTCTTCCGGAGTCGCTTTCATCTATTTATTTGGTCGTGGCGTGCTTATCAATGATGACGATGGTGACGAAGCAAGAGAGGAGACGTAAGGATCCATGTGTGTACATGTGTAGCAACGAAAATGAAATAAATTCTGTGTGCCATCGTCATCATAATCAAGTTTAATCCAATCCGAAAAGTGATTCATATTCGGGTCCACATTTCGCAGTCTTTTCAGTTCAGTTGTATTTATTTCGTTTTCATTTACTATGCACATTACAACAGTTCTATAAAAAAAATGGAAAACTTTAATGCAACTTTGGTCATTTTGGATTTCCACTTACATGTTTTTCATTCTCATTTTCATAAGAGTTGATGACGATATAAAATGGAAAAATTGCATTGCATGAACAATTAGTAAATGGAAATCATTTGGTATATAAAAATTTGTCATATTTTAGTCATTTTGCATTTCTATCGGGTAACCACTTGCAAGAAATAGCTAAAAGAAAGTGGTTTCTTGCAGGTATTTTGACATGCAAGAAACGCAAGGCGCAAGAAACTACGCCCGTCGCTATACTTCATCCGGTGAGTGGCTGGATGGCGCATATTTCTTGCACTTTCTCCCAGTTTCTTGCACCTCGCTTTTCTTGCATTTCTTATCTACTTGGCAAACCCGCTGGAAACGAAATACTGAATGTGTTTAAGGTACCACAAGAGGTTGAATATTTCGATTTTTTCTGGACTTAGCAACATGATTTTTTAGAGAAAATGAGTCAAGACATGAAGTACGGCTCCGCATAGCGACAAGGTCATTGGGGTATTTTTAAGAGCTCCCCGAGATGGAGGGGGTGGACTTTGAGGTCATAATGGTTGTTATTTGGAATCATTATATATTTCTGCAGGGTGTATAATCGGTTTGAGGGCTCATTTGTGTCACATAATGAGATGTGAACCATTTTTGTCCTTAGAAATATAAAATAATAGGGTGGGGCAAGTATAGAAATGCTATTTCGAAAAGTATGGAAGACAATATGGAAATGAGACCCATTATGCTCCCCATGTAAAACTATTTCGCACGATATGGGAGTCGTCGCACATTTGTGCTCTGGATGGTTTTGACGCTAGGACGTTTTAAAAAATTTTCATCATGTTCGACTATTTTGGCTATAAATACGTAAGTATGAGTAACAGCAAAAGGTGACATTTACCAAAATTTAGAGCAGTATATTTTGTACTAAATTTGTATTTGAACCAAATTCCCACCTATTATCATTTCTGAGAAAATTACAATCAAAGTGGGTGGTATAATTCCTTGCCAACTCTCTTGTGGTACCTTAATTTCCATTTAATAAAACCGTTGAAAATACAAAAATGATTTAAAAATTGCACAAAATAGTGAATCATGAGGCACTTGGTCACATTTAAAGGGAAGTTTATATACGAATATAAGGACGTAGTGGAGAGGAAAGAAGAGATGAGAATGGAGCCATAAGTTTCATCTGGAAGTTTTGCTCCTGAACTTGAAATAAGCAACAAAAATGATTTATCTGGGTTTCCATCTCGTTAAAATAAACGGCATCTGCTCCTCTCTCTCTCCGCAGAAGGATCCACGATGATGATTGTTGGAGAGGAAAAAGTTTTTAGTTGTGTGCATGCATGTGGATGTATTTACTTTATGTCCGTATAAATGTACGATATGAATGTGGTGACTGGTATGAAGTGCCGTGTTTAGCTCGACTTTGTTGCACATGGAAATTTAGGAATCTTGTAATAAGCAGTGGATTCAGAGATTTGAACGATTAAGTAAACTTTCACTGTACTTTTTTTACTGCTTGAGTGATTTCCGCGCATTTTACATGAAGAGAACTGGAGAGATTACAGTTTCCAGGATTTGGAGAGTTTACAGAAATTGCAAAATTTACAGAAATTACAAGGTTGACTGACTGACAGAAGTTCGAAAAGTTTCAAGGAAGTTACAGAAAGTACAAAATTTATAGAATTTATACAAGCTTCAAACTTTAACAAACATTACAGAATTAGGAGAAATCACGGAGTTGACTAAAATTGAAAAATGTAGAGAATTTTGCAGATCCTTTCATAGAATTAAAAAAAAAACTGGAAAACTTATAAATTGACAGAAATTAAAAATTTAAAGATATCCCAGAATTTACAAAATTTACTGAATTTAAAACCATTTCAACGTTTACAAACTATTAATTTATATTCATCTGTTTTCCTTCTGAATTTTGAACCTATTGATGTAGGTCTCACTTGGTTTCAACATTCAAAATTTCCAATTTCCACCAATCCTTCCTTCCCATCTCTCACATTACATTTGCCAACTTTTATTAAAATTTTAATTTATTTTCATTCATCTCAATTTAACACACACTTTCTACACATCTCTCTCTCCCGAATAGATTAGACACACAATTCCCCCCTCTCTCTCTCCACATATGCACCCGAAAGATAATGACAATAATGGGCTGACGTCAAAGAAGAAAGTATCACATTATTCGATTCCAAAGACAAAAGAGACCTTTTTTTAATGTGCAAGCCCAACAAGAGTTGAAACTATATAAATGTGTCCCAGTCACGATTTGGTTTTCGTCCGATTTTGTTTTATTGTTATTCCGGGGACAGTTTGTGATTCGATATTGCTTTCATTATTCCAAGCCTGTCATTATTATTCAGATATTTATTACCGTATTTATGATTAAGAAATGACAGAGGAACGGGAGCGATGTTATCCAATTGATGTTTTATTAACAACATACATTCACTTGCTTTCTGACATCACATGTGACATCCAAGAATCGATCTGGTACGTTCCTTACTTTGGAAAGGCACGCTAAATAATGGGGGAGCGAATTGTGCTCGTTTTTTGTAAAGTTTGGTAAAATTTGGTAAAGTTTGCTACCGAATGGGAAAAATGTGAAGTTATTATATTAAGATGCAATCTATGAAGGTACGTGGGGAGATACCGATTTGATAAAAAATATGCACGAAATTGGACGAGATTTTAGTCAAATTGGTGACAAATATATTTACCAAATTTACACCGGTATTAAATATGAAAGCGGGTAACACCAACTGTTACCAAATTGGTAAAACTATTAATATAAAAATATGTGTTATCAAGTATACTCCAACGTAAATAAGTCACCATTTGGTGTAACATATCACATCTTATTTAGTCATATTAGCCTCTAACCTATTACTGATCCGGTAACAAAATCCAAGTACCAATGAAATTAGTAGTACAAATATCACAGCTATTTAGGCAATTTAAAAGATAAACTATTATTGTATCAAACTACCAAATTGGTAAATCACACTGTAGAAAAATTGGTAGTCCAATGTTACATGTCAGAAATGAATTGGTGGTGGATTTATAAGCGTGCTGGCTGAGACAGACATTAATGGAATTAGATCAGAAAGAGAGAGAGAATTGAGTTGAAAGGGTTGTCAGGCGCTGTTCTGAAGCCGAATTCGGTCCGTTGTCTCTAATGAATCTCTCCAACAATCCTGCCAGCCAGCCATCAAAGGGATACTCTCTCCTTCCACCCGATTCAATCAACCCGAATTTTATATGGGTGACTCATAAAGTCACAAATTTACCAGTCTACGATTTCCTATGTATCGTAAGCCTAATTGTGAGATCGGGCATAAATTTACAATTCAGTAAATCGTAAAATTTTAAACTTTTGAAAGTTCATTTTTCTTTATAATTTGACATTTCAAATCTATGTATGTATCGGTATATTTGCAAAACCTCATGAAATAAATTCGTCGATTCGTAAAATTACGCAGTAATTGTTAAAATTTGG